TCTCTATATATATATATATATATATATATATATATATATATATGTCCTCGCCTCTTTGTTCCCCTTTATTTTTGTCTCAAGGCACCCGGGCTCATTTCACTAGCCGAAGCACCGCTGCTCGCCTGCCTGGCCGGTGCTGGGACAAACAGCACGGACGAGAAGCTGAAGAAAACAAAGATAAATGATTTCACAAAATAAAAAAAATAGGGAGAAAATTTCTGCGGTGCGTTATCATCTAAACAAACTGCTGCCTCGTCGGAGAAAATAAGCCCCGTAAAACATAAAGCAGCCAACAATATATATGCAGTTATAGTCAAACAAGTAATCATCATCTTCTTTCATTGCCTCTCAATGTTTTTTTTTTCTTTGTGTAAATATTTTTTTTTCTTTTTCCGTGTACGCAAGCAAAGGTATGTATGCGCGTGTCTATGCGTTTGTTGGCTGAGTTTTTAAAATAAGTGCATCTAACAGTAATAACAATCGATTAATGAGGAAGACAGCCACAGTGCGTGTGTGTTCTTGTGCATTTATCGCGTAAATGAGGGGAATTCCCAAGCAATAGTAACAATTGTATACACACACACACACACAGTGGCCTCTGTTTCTTTTTTTTTTCGAGTCCAACAACGTTTTCGCCGCCCTCCGTAGATAAAGTGCACGCACATTTATTGTAGAGGTGTGGGGTGCTCGTAAAAAAAAAGGAAACGGCGCCAGCGGCTTTCATTACATGAAAAACAAACCACAGAGAGAGGACACAGTTCATGCCTGTTCTCTGGGATGTTTGCGTGGGAAAGCGGTGAAAAACAACTTCTATAGAAACTGACAGCAACCTTGCGTGACGCTGCATGTGCCTTTTGCGTGGCGCGGTCGGTTAGGGCAACAAATTCCCCGGAGACCTCGCCGACGCAGAGGGAAAATATGTTCGAAAGACAAAAACAAACAACCGATATTGCACCACATTCTGTTCATTAAAGAAGGAAAAACAAAAACAAAAATGATTATGCGTGCGTGCTCCTCAGTATGCGGCAGTTTGTCTTCATCCGTCTTCTCTCACGTTTGCTTTATTCCTATTGGTTTCTCCTCACTTTCGTGAGACAGACAGACACACACACACACACACACACATACACGCACACACGAGTACAACTTCGGTCCACAGACTTAGCTTTCCTCCCTTTCACTCATCGTCTATGCTCGCTCTAAGAAATTCAATCAAAACCATCACTTCAGTTTGATTTTAGTATTATTATTTTTTTCTTTGCGCCGCATCTTGTGACGTCTCTCTCGCCTTCAATCCACAATTTAACGAGCTTCAAGGGCACCACGCATGTACCCTACTCCCATTCTTTCTCTCTGCGTGCGACATATGCATAAATAGGCCTCTCCCTCTACTTGTGTGTTTCCTTGTTACTCTCTTCCAGTAATCCCCTTCAGGAAGACTTTCGTCCGCAACGTAAACTGCAGCATGCGCAACAGCCTGGAGATGTTTGGCTGACTGCTTGTTCCCTCCTGCGGCTGGATGGTATAGTAGACGATACAAATACTCCGATCGAACGTGTAACATACATCCACAAGTTCGAAGGGCAAGTTAAGGAAGCGGAACTGCTTGCAACACTCTATAGTGGCAATGTTACATGCAGTTCTCAATTCATGCAATCGCTCGGCGTCAGTGGCAATGTTTTCATTTACCTCACGAAGGATGATTCCATCGTGGAGCGCCGATTTATGTACCGCACCGGTCGTCAGGTTGCCATCACTGTGGTGACGTTGCAAATACACACAGACACCGGCATCTTCGTAGGCAACGTTGTCGTACGGACTACGGCTGCTTTTTATGGCTGCCAGATAGCGGCGTCCCATAACAGGCAAAGGTTGAGAGGGATCCACCTTAAAGCGCATAACAACTCCTCGCGCAAACTCGAGGATGACGTAGTCGCAGTGCTGATAAACAGGCAAAGGTCTTTTCATAGGTGGGGCCGAAGCCGCGCCAGGCAGCGATATCACCTTTACTGACGTCAGAGCTGTCGGCTTTGGCCTCGAGGAAGGCAAAATGGGCGCAGAATTGGAGGAATCAAACGCAGAAAGAACGACTCCTTTATCAGCAGTAGTGAGATCCTTCGTTTTGACACCACTCTTCCCTTCGGCTGTTGCTGGTCGCAGGAGAAGGTGTAACTTGTCAATGGGAACTCGACGCCCACTGACGGCAATAAGAGAGGTGGCGTTACCCACTACGCGTGTCATGGTTTGGCGCTTTTCGTTGTGAGGGTAGGCCGGCGGTGGGCCATTGTGCTGCACAACGTGTTGCTGGTGTGCAGGCTGCAGATTGGCAGGTATAGATGAGGTGGGTGGGGAACACTCTTCTTTCCCCCCCTGCTGTTGTGGCGGACGCTCCCCTTGCAACGGTTGAAGGTAAGACTGAGGCTGTGTGACGCTGCGGGATGCCTTAAATAGACAGCGCTTCTGAACTGTCTGCTCCTCCACCCCATCTTTGTCATCTTCGTCACTCTCTAGTAAAACGCTTCTTGGGAGCAGAGTTGATTCCATACTCGTATTCGGGGTGAGGGGCGGCGGTGGCGGAAGAAGAGGCCCGGCCCCTTGAAACAGCTCACACAGTCTACTTTGCTGAGTACAGGGCGTAGCAGCAGTGTGAATGGCATTCGTCACGGTATCAGCGCATTTCCACCGCTTCACCGGAGTAATAAAGCAGTCGCTCTCCTTTAGATACCCTGTATCATTCTCTGTTGTCAAGGAGGTCTCCGAGACATTTGCATTGGTTGGAAAAAAACTGCCAGCACACGGTGATCCTGCGGCATACTTGTTGCCAGGCGTTAAACCCGTGTGGTTTATACGCTGACGGTTTGTAATGGGAGTGCAACGACAGCTGTTGAGGGAAATGTTCTGCAATTGTGTGACCCCAATGTCCTTCCAGCCGCTTCTGCAGCCTCTACAACCCTCACTTGAGAACTTCCCAGTACGACCAGGAGGAATGTTCTCCTTGTTTTCGGGGCCGAAAAGACTCGTGTTCGTGATCTCCTGCAAAAAAGACGAAAACACGTTGAAGCATGACATAGGCTGCTGATGTGTCACCTCCATTTCAACCTCGCTTCGCTTTACCAGGGACTCTCGTGGATTTGGTGCGTGTACGGATACGTATATATATATATATATATATATATATATATATAGTATATTATATTATATATATATATATCTA